ATTTATGAGAGAAGATAATTTTGTTGACTTTGCATGGTTATTGTGAATAAACATTCTCCTTTAGCATAAATTTCCATATTAGGCCTATATATTAGTTTATATTTTTATTAATGAAATTTACAAAAACCTTAATTAAAAGCATTGATAGACCAACTACTATTTGAAAAGACAATAACATTTCATTCATTTCAAGCATTTTTCATAAATCCTATAATAGCTTATTTATTACTAAAATTTAGGTCTTCATTATATACTTATTTTATGAAAAATTAGAAAATTTTAATTTGCATAGCAACGGTTGCTATGGTGATGACCTTGTATTTTATTACACCATTAAATTCACTTTTCTATAAAAAGCTGTTTATCGTATAAAAAATATTGTATAAGCCAATCTAATAATATTTTTATTGAGATAAATAATAACAGCAATTATGTGAATTCCATTCGTTGCTATGGAGTTATAAAAGTTCCGTAGCACTTCAGTAAAGGTGTTTGTTTGATTGTTTTTTTTTTAATATTGCTCATACATAACCTAAATACAAAAATATTCATAAACCTATGACAATGAGGATTTCAATACGGTAAGCTTTAAGCATCCCTTATACTTAAATTTCATGAATAAAATAGGAAATTTAAATTTGCGTAGCAACAGTTGCTATGGTGATGACCTTGTATTTTATACATCAATGTGTTAACTTTGTTCAATAAGAGATGTTTATTATATAAAAATATTGTATCTCATGATTTTTGCTTAGTCAATGACAAATGTACAGCAATTCTACTGATTTTGCTTAGTTGCTATGGACGATAAAAAGAGTATTGCTATGCAATTATATCAAAGTTTCAGCATTTTTTTTACATAATCCTATTCTATGATAATAATAGATAATTCAGATGTTAAACATATTCATAAAACCTATGAAAATAAAGTTTTTAATAAACTTTAGGCTTCCTGTATACTTAAATTTCATGAATAAAATAGGAAATTTAAATTTGCATAGCAACGGTTGCTATGGTTATTGAAATTGTAGTTTTTCTAAACGCAAGATTCTTTTTCGATAATTAACGAATATTTTGAATAAGTTTCACCAATTGTTGATGATGATTATTCGAGTAATGTTATTTTTTATATTATATAGCTAAAACTATAATTTAAAGCGGAAAAATGGCGGCCATTTTGAATGCGTAATTTGGAGGTGTTCCCCCAAAGGGATTTTGGGTAATTTTGAGTTCTGAACTTCTCAAGACCTATATTTTCAGAAAATATCAAAATTAGCCGGTAGTACTTCCATTGCCACCTCCACCCCAAGATAGCCTCTAATCTGCTGGCCTATAATATATCGGCGCTGGTTCGAACGGCACGCTCGCTTATGGTTTCGGTGGTGGAACAAGTCTTCTCGGATAAGGACTCTAAACCGTAGGTTCAGTGTACACAATTGGCTCGTGTGCACTTTAAAGAACCAAGTACACCATTCGAGAAGAGTAGGGGGTTACCCCGGTGTAGGCTACTGGTCCATCTCTAGTCCCCTGTCCGGCCACAGAAGGAGCGCTCACGACGCGGCCCATGTCAGGTATCCACCTGCGAATCCTTACACACTACGTGAAGCTAGATCATACACACTAGCTACGTAGTGACTCGATAAGAAGACTAACATTAATTTTTAATTGTTTAGTTTCAGGGAACACTGAAATTACAATTTCACTGTTCGCTGATTTTTATTTATTTCACAAAGTCACATTAATATTCATATACAGTATTATGATTACAATAGAAAATTTAAAGTATGTCTAAAAAAATTAATGAAAATATGAAAATGAGATGTAGGAATTACATTTGAAGCAAAGCCTTTACCATGTAACTCTCTTAAATAATAATATAATTACAATTAATAATAATTATTAATTATAATGATAAGAACACTTTAGAGGTAAATCTATCCCCCGCCGCACACCATCCCGGTATTTCTGAGTCGAGGTTTCGGGGCCTTAATAAAGATTGCTCTAGTACTGTACAAGTGAAATGATTTACTAGGAATTAATATAATCTTCTAGTCATCCATCTAAAGGTAAAAACTATCCCCACCGGACACCATCCCGGTATTTCTGAGTCGGGGTTTTGGGCCTTAATAAAAGATTACTAGCAAGTAAAATGTTCTACTAGAATTAATCTAATCTTCTAGTCATCTAAAGGTAAAATTAACCCACACAGGACATCATCCCGGTATTTCTGAGTCTAGGTTTCAGGGCCGGAAAATTATTATTTATGTGGTGAATCAAATATGACAAAATAAGCTTGCTGTTTAACTACAGTAAAAATGAAATAATTTGAAATCTGTTCCATATTTTCAATAGGTTGAACATGCAAGTTATGTTTGAAGTTTTTTGTTTTGTTTTTGTTTTTGTTTTTTTTTAACGTTGTAGTTGATAACTTATTTGATCCGTATAAATGACATACGAAACATTTGGATAGATTTGTTTTACTAATAAGCATAACACTCCATTATCCTTGTCCAAAGTTGTAATCTCTATTATTTGGTTTGTTTTTGTTGTAGTCAGCCTGTACTGTTGTGTTGCATGGGGTTCCTGAATAATGACCAATTTTATGTCGACCATTGTTTTTCTAAATGTTGGCTTGCGCTTCATAACTACAACGGAAAGGCTCAATATAAATACCCAGTACCAGTACTTCATTAATTATATTACATCCATTCAGGTAAAAAAAAAAACCCCGTCGTGGAAAAAAAAACCACAATTCGAAGGGGAGAAAAAAAACTTATATGTATGTACCGTATTTTCTACATATCAATAGGCTCTAAAATCGATTAAATAAGCCTTTGAAATCCCTAAATTGTCAAAATTTTCGGGGCTTCGCATCCTGGACCGCTTTCGATGCCTTTTAAGCGACGCTCGACCACGCCCACTTTACTATCGTGATGGAAATCTGACCACTCGTTAAGGGCATCGGCCACACCCTCCCCCCTCCCGTTGGGGACCTCAGCCCCAGTAGGGAAAATCATGGTGCCACCCCTGGACAGCTCAGGGTGGGTACTACTACATGTAGACGAGGTTGACTAGTTTAAATATTTGTTGCTTGAAGTCTGGTCATTCAATTTTGTAAAAGAAGAGATTGCGTCAGAGAAAGTACATTTGGCTTACAAACGATATTGAGTTCCGACGCCCTTGATACGTCATTGGCTTATGTGTTAAATGGTAATCGTCCGATATAATCCTCATTGTAAATTTTCACAAAGATATGCGAAATGTGAGTGATTGTTGGCGAGGAGGCACAACACAGTCAGACCACGATGTCGTTTGAGGACTCAGAAGAATCGTTTCTGCCATTGGTAGACCTAGATGATGTAGCTGGGATTATTGGAGATTTATACGGCATTTCAGCTGACGGTGTGAGCGAATTGAAAGGGTTCAGCGATAAGAACTTTTACCTAAAAGTCGCTCACCCGGAATTACGTGGTGAGAATGTTTGCACAGAGTTCGTACTGAAAATTACCAATCTTGAAGATTCACGTAAGGTGACATTGCTCGAAGGACAGACTGCGGTAATGCTACACCTAAAAAGGCAAGGAGTCAAATGTTGCCGACCAATACTTAACATGAAGGGTAATTACATGCATTTGGTCCGTATGAAGAAAATATGCAATGGTAAGTTGAGTAGCCTCAATAAATGCAGAGAAATATCCCATACCATGAATAACCATCATATTTTTTTTTTGCTATACAAAATGTGATCGTGGTGGTCAGACTGTTAGGCATTCCAGTGGCGGATTCAAGGGGGGTCTGAGTGTGCCATTTCCGGCCACCAAGAGGTACCATAATCATGAATTTTCTAGACCGTCGCTATTTCGAATTCCTCGTACCGCCACTGCATTCATCCATTAATGCATTCATCCATTAATTCATTCATCCACTAATATACATATTATTTGGTTGAGCAGCTTTTGATGATACACATCTAGATGTGTATAAGAGACAGAGGATGTAGTGTTTATTAGTGTCCTGTGCCTTGTAATTCAAAAATCACATCATAGCCATAGCGGACAAATAACCGAGGTTTGTTATAGCTCTATATGTTCGTCTGTCTGCTTTCTTTTCATTGTATTTGCATTGTCCAGTAAGCAGATAGGCTTTTTTCATTGATTACGGTCCTTTCATGCATAGGATACAAACTTGTTTTTCAATGCAAGGATTTCTCTGATTGTTGTGCTTCTGGTTGGAGTCTAAAGGACTTTTAACCATGAATTCTTTGAATGTCTGGTGTCTTGCATATTTCCCTTAATTTTTATTTGCCTGAAATGTATTTAACAGTTTCTGGTCCGTTCCTTTTCCCCTATAATAACAACTGGCGGCGCATGTGTTATTTGCTTTCTTTTTCAATGTCATGTTGGCTGTAAATACCATGGTTCTGGTGAGACATTTTCCGTTTATAGACAGTTATTTCAGTTTCGTTCGACAGTTGCAACTTGCATATATGTTTTGCCCGCTTATTGTTTCATTGGTTTTGGTAAGCCTGATTTCCACTAGGCGAATTTATTCGTGCGAATCTCCTCAGGGAACAGTGAAATTGTAATTTCACTGTTCCCTGGTCCCCTCAATTTTGGTATGCAATGCCATTTCATAAGTCAAGGAGATGCCTGAAAATTGTTAAAATAAACGGCATAAATGATCCAGGTTTTAACGAAAGAGTGCTGTACAGCCAGAGTACATCATATTTTATAGCAACATAGCCTACCTGTATCTCCAGGGCCGTCGGAACGCCACTTCTCAATTCCATTACTTTTTTAAATACATATTTACTTATACCAATGGGTTATATGAATTTATTAATAATGTTCGTATCACATTGTCTTTGTAATGTTATACAGTATTTAAACAAAAAAACCATTATGCGCTTGTTTTTGTAGGTTTTTGTATTGCTTAGGCCTATGTACATTTCAACTTGTTTAATTTTAGTAAATAAGATTGATTTTGAAAATGTTTAGAGATATAAATTAATGTAAACCCCTAAAAATGTAGGGGGTTTGAGTAGGCCAATATTGTCATCACCACACAAATGTAGACGAGTCAAGCCGGCCCTAATTACTTGCAAATAAAATGTAAACCCCCAAGTGATGAACATTCATTTTTGAAGTATGCATGTGTGCTATTTCTCGGCAGGTTTCTATAAGGGAGTGGGGATCCAACAAAATCATCAATTCCAGTGCGATGCAAAGCAACGATAAATAGATTAAATATGCCATTGATTATACGCTACAACCAGACCCACCAATATTTTCCTGGGATTTCAGTCCCTAGACCTCAATCTGAGGATCGCTTTGCTCTCGGAAAGTATTACTATTGAAGACTAACAGAAACTCAGAAAATAACATACAAACTGCTGATTGCTTTTGTTCCTGCACTCTTTCCCCTTTATTCCAGGTCGGACTCGCTTTAGTCTGCATTAGTGTCTCATTACCATCATCTTCATCAACATCATTTTATATTTTTTCTTGACACACATGTAAACAAAGTTTCCATAGTATGGCTTCTGAATCCCTGTAAAACTGTCCAAATTCTAATATTGCGCCCCTCCACCCTTTCACAAAAAAAAAAATCACCTGGATCGCCCTTGAAGCAGGGGCGGCGCTAGCGGGAGTCCAGGGGAAAAGGATCCCCGTCGGGGAACTCTGGACCCCACTTGGACCCCCCCCCCTATGTCGGGAAATTTCCAGCAAGGCCGTCGGGGAAAAATCAAATCACGTGCGCCGAATTATTCAATTCAAGCATGTCTTAATAAGCTGTCAAAATTTTATGGATTAAAAACTGTTTAGTGCAATTAGTGCTACCGTATGTGCGATTACTATCGTACGGGTATAATCGGTAAAAAGTCTAGCAGAAACACACACAGCATTTATTTAAACAACATTGAGCACAGCATTAAAAAAATTTTAATAATTCAAGTGATTGTACAAAGCATAACTTATCTAGAGTATGACAAACAATTTATTATTGATTCAGGCTAAATTTGGCAAGTAAGTGAAATTAAAATTGTATCATCATGTTATTAGAAATTCTATTAATTTGTAGGCCTATTTCCAAATATAATGCAAATATAAAAAAAATAGTAAAAATAAAATAAATAAAATAAAATGAAAAATATAAAAATTGCATCCTGTGTATTCGTAAAATGTAACTGTATATTGTTAATATATATGTAAATATAGGCCCCTATACAGTCACTGTTATTCATTGTATTATGTATTCGTGTTCCTTGCACTTTATTATTCATGGGCAAATAAAAAACTCAATTAATCTATTTTTAGAAATAATTTATGATTTTCGCAATAGACGTATACATTTGTCTTATTCACATAAATTAAAATAGGCCTAAACTAGATACGCCACTGTCTATGGTGCCATATTTTCAAAATTTGTTAAGCGACCCCTCCCCCCTGCTTTTTCTATAATGACCGGACCACTTGCAAGATGCTTCGGACAGCTATGATCTCTGCTCACAAACATCTGAATTAGCTATAATACACAACTTAAGTGCGCGTGCCTTTATTATACTTAAAGAAGTATAAAAAAAAAAGCATGCAAATGTAGTTTTCGGCATATAAAATAGGTAAAGTAAAGTGAAAACATCAAAGACAATTAAAGTTTTATTTTCTGTGGTACATCACAATGATTAATTAGATCGATTATGATGAATTTTGCTAGGATATGAGAGTGTCATATCTGGCAATCTAGAGGTACTATTTCCCCAAATTTTATCATCTCAGCCCCAACTATGGTGGGGCTGAGACGGGTGTGGACTCGCGATTTAAAAGTAAGTAAATACATCAAAGACAATGTTTTTAAGTTTAATTTTCTATGGTACCGTACATCACGCATATTAATTAGATCATGGTAGCCGAACAAAGCTGATAAAAGATCATAAGAATTTGTTGGCGATTCATTTTGATTCCATAATGGTAATGCGATAAGATAATATTTATAGGTTTTCTCTTTTATAACAGAGCTTACAACCTTACATTCAAAATATATGAAATTAATTATTAAATAAAAAACTAATGATAACAAACAGCAAAAATTGTTTAAAAAGTAAGTACTGTACAAGCAAGGAAATTTAAAAGTGTCATTTCCGGCCATCTAGAGGTACTATTTTCCTCAATAGGTCAAGTAAATTAAATACATCAAAGAAAGTGTTTCTTTAGTTTTATTTTCTATGCTACATCACTCATATTAATTAAATCCCTAATAAAAAATCATGAGAAATTTACTGGCTCTTCATTTAGACATAATGGTGATGTGATGATGATGAATTTTAGTAGACCTAGGCCTGTATAAAAGTGTCATTTTCGGCCATCTAAATGTACTATTTCCTCAAATTTTCTCACCTCAATGACGTGGCTGTGGACTCGCGAGTTTGAAACAGGTAAGTAGTACATCAAAGACAATGTTTTTAAGTTTTATAATGTGGTATGATTCGTGGTTGTCAAAATCGGTGATAAAAAGATCATGAGAATTTGTTGGCGCTTCATTTTGACTATATAATGGTGATGTGGATAATAATTAATTCCACTAAATGCCCCCCCCCCATCTTTCAAAACAGGTCTGCGCTCTTGCACGCACCCCTACTCCCAAATCCTGCATCCGCCCTAGTTAGTGCGTGCATTTAAGTATTTAGATTTAAGAGATTCATAATGTTGACAACAGCTGACAATGACAGTTGAAATGTCTTAATGTTTTATGTACAGTCCGGTTTGGGGACTTCCTGATTGGTTGAGAGTTCTCCTGTCGCCAATGTATTCAGGGATGTGTTTAATCATGCACTGGTGATAGGCGGTAATAATACACAGTTTGGTTGCTGGATTTTAGGGCAGATCGTTTGGTCGAATCCCTCATTTCTGCATATAATAGGCGATGTAACATTTGTTTGTTTTTGTTCCTAGTGTTTGGAGTTTAAATAGTCCAACTATTTCCGCATATCTCTGAAACATCGAATCTTCTCTTCGTAAACGAATTACGCGCGTTTGCTTGACTCTCATATTGAACCAAATTTTATTTTGTAACTAACGTAGCTTATTGATAAGGCAATAGTGGAATGGATTGTAGAGTAGGCCTAATCATATAAAATGGGGTTTTTTCCCAACAGATTTACTCAATGCTTCAATAAAATTAGGCATCCAGCCATACCACATGACACGTTATTCGTTAGTAGGCCTACATCTCACACTATTAAGACAAATCGGGCCTCCCATCATTCTAAAATCTGCCCCAGTCCAAAAACGTAACCATATCAGGCCTTGTGTATTTGTGTACATGTCAACATTAACAATTTCAATAAGCATTTTACCTTTCTAAATAACCAATAACTAGAAAATTAATCACAGATAATTAAGCACAGATTAGACCATGCCATCGTAGACCAGTAATAGTATACTGTCTATTCCTCATGCATGGTTAGCCACACTGAGTTTACTCAAGTTTACCCTTTAATATTTATTCTTATTGCTGTCAAACGGTATAAATACTAAGAAAGCTAGGTACAGGGAGAGAACTTCAAATATTGATTATTTCGATTTCGGATAGCTTCACAACAGAGAGTATGCCTATATCATAATTCTCTACTTGCAGCTAGCTAGTGGTATTAAACTATCACATCGTTGATTTCACATAGGTATTAAGAAGCACGGCAGTTATATTATCAGACTGGTCAACTATGTCAAAGGTCAGATGATGTCATCGTTGGTCATTGACTCAACATTGCTTAGTCGTTTTGGAGTTTTTCTTGCCGAAATTCATCTAAGTCTTCAGGTATTTTCAGCTGATTTCATAACTTATCATGACCGTCTGATGTGTTACATTATTTTTTTAATTTTGTTTACATTAATGCTTTTCTTCCCTATAGAATTTTAAACACGATTCATTTAAAGAAACCGACGATTATGAATTTAATTTATCCCAAGTTGTCAACCTGTCGTCATCGAAACTAGACGCCCTGAATGATGACCATAAACAACATCTATCCCGATCCGTTATTGAAGCGTTTCGGACGGAAGTATTACCAAAATGCAAACAACTAAAAGAAGGTATCGTAGGCCTTAATGATATACTGATATTACATCATCATCGTCCTACACTGTTCAACGAATGAAGAAGTACTGTAAATGATGCTTTCATACGGCAAACAAATTTTGTGTTAGTCAGTCCCGACCGAAAAAATGTCCGAAAATGTAGTTCTATAGCTTTTTTTTAACTACTTTTTATGTTGAAAAACGGTACCTCTGTTATAATTTTTTTTCAATTTTTTAGGTATCATCCATGGAGATTTCCGGCCCGAAAACATTATAATAGATTACACGGACAAGTCAAGTGCGCTGTTCGGGGTCATTGACTTTGGAGACACGATCCGTTCATACGTACTATTCGATGTTGCCATAGCGATTGCGCATTCAATGTTACATGACACAGAGAATTGTCTAAACGTGGCTAGCCTGATCCTTGGTGGTTATACGTCCATTTCACCGTTACCTACGTGGGAATTACGTCTCCTCCTCACATGTGTTCAAGCAAGACTAATCCAAGTACTAGTATTTTGTTGGAATCGATACCTAGAACTACCGGAAAACGCCGATTACATGTTGGACGCTGAACGAAAAGGTGGATGGGAACTCGTCGAAACATTGCAGAGCGTTTCCCATACAGACTGGATGCGATATATTAATGAAGCAGGTAAATAATATAATTAATATTACAATCAATCTGACTTTTAATACTTAGCATTAATAATAACTATTATCTTTTACCAAACCAATTACCTTGCTTATACCAGGGAGTTGTTATAGTGACTATAACAACTCCCTGCTTATACTCTGTTAATTGTGTTTTTCACAATATGTTTAACACCATGGAACATAATGTTATACAACATTCTTCATACCATGTTTACTATGTCATGTTATAATAAAAATGTTTATCAATTTAATTAGTTATTGATCCATAAAATATATAAATTGATTGTAATAAGCACTATAAATAATGTGATATGTCAATATCGAGAACTATATGATGTTGTTCAAATGGGAAACAACTCGTACCGAAAGAACCATACACTCTGGCGTGATAGGGGAGAGGGATCATCAATATTTTCAATACCTGTCTCTTATACACATCTAGATGTGTATAAGAGACAGCTTACCTACATTCGTTGTTCAAATGGGAAACAACTCGTACCGAAAGAACCATACACTCTGGCGTGATAGGGGAGAGGGATCATAGGCGATTATATAATCTGGCTGCGACGATGCCATTACTGTTCTATTTTCTCTAAGTAATTGTTTAAAACAATTGCTCAAATTACTCAAGCTGCACAGCAATTAGGATAAGCTTCTTCCAATACAAACAGCGATTATATTTTAAGATTATACGTCAAGTCTTTATTTATTTCTCTAGTATCTGCAAGGTACAAATAATAAAGTCAAACCACATAATCATGTTGATTTTCATTTATTTTCAACTATCAGCATATACTACAATATTGCATAGATGCAACTTTAGTAATTTATTTTATCAGTTCAGTTGATATTTTTTGTGATTTTCTGGTTTTTTTTTTTAATTTTCTATAGGCTCACATAGACAATTTTTTGCATTTCTTTATAGCTTTTTTACAGCAGTATGTATTTAAATTTAGCTAAATTATTATCCATGATCCATGATTTTAATATATTTCTATATTGCTTATTTTATCAATGTTTCAATATTTTAATTTGAAAATGGATGAGTGGGAAACACTGACTTTTAGTCACAGCGATTAGGTTCGCTTTAGTGTTTCCTTCCTGCTCACCCAGTTGGATGGTTTTTCTGTGTACTGTCGTCGTTTTGGAAATAAAAAGAATAAGAATAAAGCCTTCCCTCATTATTAGAAAGGCCTTCTTCCAACAAACTACTAAATCATTGAATAAATTAATGCCAGCAAGTTTGTCTTATCCCAGAGCATCTAGGAGAACCTAAATGAAGATTATTCCATGAGTCACACAAAGATGGCGACTTCTTCAGAAGGTATCTTTGCTCCAAAACAACGTAACTTAAAACTATAATAGCAGTAACGTTATTTTTGCCATGGGACGGCCACATTGATACCTGTATTAGCAGTGAATATGCTTGCCTTCCAATACCAGGGTCTTGGGTTCAAATCCTGCAAACATTTAAAAAAACTGTACTCTCTAAAGCCAGCCACTCACTGCATCTGATGGTCATTGGCAGACACGATTCTATAGAGAACCCCAACGCCCTGACGCATGTGCAACAGATCGTATTTAATGACGATCCATTTTGACTGCCACTGATAATAACCAGACAGCATCGTCTAACGCTAGCAGAGAGCAGAGTTGGATTTGTCGTAAGCCACAGCGAGTGCCCGGTTTAAGCCACTGACTGAGAATCATTTGCTGTTGACAAGAATATTTAAACAGCCATACTGTGCATCATGAACAAATTCTTAAGCTCGTAATAGACCGAATTAGTCACCAAACCAATGCCGTTATAGTGGACACAACATCAAAACAAACTGCTAGGTGGCAGTTTTTCACACAATAATAAGCCATCGCAAATAAATTTTGACAGTATTTAAACTCTTCAAACTTATTTATTTGTACATTTTATCGTAAAATAACTTATCGAAAAGTCTTGGTAAATATTTCTTTAATAAACATCACAGTATTGACCTGTTAGATTTGAAATTGAGTGAAAGAAACAAATGGAAAACTTGGAACATTTTTGCATAGCCTCGTCGCGTTAACGAGGGCCTAGCCCTGGACTAGAAAGTCATACAAACAACGTTCTTTTGACTCATTGGTCATCGTAGTCAAAAGCAACATCTTATTCTGCAATTGAGCAATTTAAGTTTATCCAATATTTTCAATACAGTATTTTCATACAGAAATTGCAACAAAATCACTTGGTGACAGTATTTAAGCTGACTATGTACCTCTAAATCAACAGTGATCACCTTAGTCAGCGCTGGATGCGGCGAGTCCTGCAAGCGACTGGCCTAGGCCCCCTAGAATGCCTCTCAAAATTCTTCATATTTTCAGTTTGAACGGAAATTCAATCAAATCAAACTTAATCTCATGAATCTATAAATAATTCAAAATGTATATATTTTTATAAATATAAAAAAAAAACTATCTTCTACGGCAACATTGAATTTTAGATGATTTAATAGACACCACTTTTGACTCTGCTCAATGCATAAGTATAGGACTTTCAACATGAACAACTTTTAATACCCACTCGGCCAAATGTTCATGACGTCATCTTTGGTGACTAATTCGGTCTATTGTGTCTGTGTAATCATCCAAATGAAATCAAGCACATTATCGTTGTGTATCCATGTGCCATTTCCGGTAAATTCTTCCACTTAGACTGCGGTAGATTTGTACAGCCGATTTCTCCGTTACCAAAAAGGCCGAACAGAGGTGTTTTTGGAAAGAGCGTACGGAAGACTTTACTTTCTACATCCCATGCTGAGTAGAAATCGCATCCTCGGCCAATGCATGCAAACATCAAACCTATGCTGTTCTTCTCTGAGAGTCCTGCACTCTTCAAGCGCATAAGTTCCTTGTGTACCAATTCTTCTGTGTACGCATCTTGATCCAGTAGTACAGATGCAGCACTGATACGCTCTCCGGAAAAGACGATGCACTCGGTGGTGCTCTTCCCGCCACTGTAGTTGCAAAAAACAAAAACAAAAGAAAAACAACATAAAAGCACTGTCTAAATATTACCATATTAAAATATATTTGTTTTATTTCCTCCTTATATTATATAATTGCCTGCTAGTTTTTTATTTTACATACTACTTCTCAAACAATGTCAAAATATGTAAGACTGATCCAATCACAAACCAAATTCCAACAAGTGTTTCAGTCTAAAATTAGTTTATCACAGAGTAGTGTAAAATTTATAGATAATGAAAAGTTATGAGCATAGGTCATAGTTCTTCATATCAAATTTAGACTATGCTACATATTATTATTTATATTTTTATTATAATACTGTACATAGTTTTATGCTCAGTTATCTATTAATATTTATTACTTCCTTGATGCCATGATGACATACCAATTTTTTGTCATTCTTACAATTTTCATTTTATGGGATGCTATAAGACTGTATACCTCATTACATAATTTTTATATACAAAATACACTATTTAATTCACTGTAGAGGCTTTATATTAAGCATAGCTCTAAAGCTGACAGTACTGTATTACTGTACTTTGCAAATGTGACTTTCTGGTATTTCTTGTTTAGTACAGATTGTTTATGCATGTCTATTTTTTTATGCAGTTACTTTATTAGTCTATTCTAATTTTAATATTGTTTATTATCTTTAACTCCACCTATCATTGTGTGCCTATTCTTTGACTGCTCATTCATTTACTTTTTGTCAAAGAAAATTTGATAGTGTAAACAGAGCTTAAGATTTGACTGTTATTCATATATGTTGCATACATCTGGTCTCACATTGTTTGTGTGTGTTTCTGGCTTACTTCACCACTACATACCTTAAAACATGGTCCACAATGGCACCGGCAATGACTGGTGTTTGGCCGTCTTTGAAGAAAGCTTCTTGTAGCTTTTCACCAGCTAACTTTCTTGCTGTACTTGTTTTGGGAGTAAATGTCAGGATACACTTCACATCCTCGTGCCGTTCAATGCCGGACTGTTCCCAGATATTACCACCAAGATTATTGCGAATGGAAAAGCGTGTGATTCGAGCACCATTCATTTCTGGAAAAAGTATTGCCACTGCTCCCCCTTCTCCTTCAGACTCTGCACAATTGGTTAAATCCCGGGTTGTACCTAAGAAAAGAAAGACAGGTGTGTAACACACTTCCTTTTGGGAGGGGGTTTGAGGGATAAATTTGTTTCATAACACAGTGCGTCTATTTGTGGGGAGGGGGAAGGGGTTTTTGGGACAAATTTTGTTTCAAATTTAGTAAACATGTGACTTCTCGTGATCAGCTCATACCTTGATGCCAGAATGCCTTGTAATAATAATTTTTTTAAACAATATTTCTTAAAGGTTTGCACTGCGACTATCAATAACAAAATAATAAAACCATGTGTAAAAATATTGTTTATGAGGTAAAACCACTAAATTTATTTTAGTTCATAAGAACCTCTGGTTTGAAGACAATAATGAGTAAAAAATAATATAATATAATGTTAAAGTAATAATGATTTATATCCTTTCTTTTTCGTTAATAAAAAAAAGTTTAGCAGTAATTTTAAGAGACATAAAAATCTAAATTACTAATTGCAGTGTCTTGCTTTTTTACTATGAATAACGATTGTAATTAATTGAATCAAGCAGTACATGTCCACTCTCCAAGCCCTACTGGCTACAGAGCATCTAGGGTCCGAAATGATCAGTTTCAATAAATGGATTCAACTTTGTTTAATGTTTATAGCAAAATAAGAAAGTCCCTGGAAGAAGTATCAGCATCCAAACAGGACTTACTCTGGTTAACAGGACTGGAAAAATTGTGCGACTGCACCACTTGCGGTCGAAGGCATCATGAATGTTCCGGAGGCATTTTTGGGGAAAACATTTTTTAAAATAAACTGTTGGCCTGTACTGCTGGAGGCATTTTTCCATCACAATTTTCATAGTTTGTGGACAAACATTATTTTTTCCAGGCCTGCTGGTTAATGTAATACAATAATATAAAATATCAAGAAACATTTACAAACTGTTCCAGGAACTGTTACAGCGACAACTTGACAGGAAGAGGGCAGCAGACTACTAACATAACTGTCAACATCAACACCACTTGCTTCTTCAAGCGATGTCCCATGGAAGTCACTTGTCCTTTTGAACTCGGTTAATAATAAACAGGCTGTAGGAACACTCCATGCTTCCTAAAGTAAGCAAATCAAAGATAATGTCCCTATACTATAGGAACATGCGTTAAATGATCAATATGCCTGGTGTAACAGTCATGATTATCTTATTAATAAAGTTGTTATCATCCAAAAGAGAGCAATTAGGTCTCTCTCGGCCATTGCATGTCATGCACACTCTGCTTCACATTTTATAGAACATGATATTCTTAGGTTTTTACTTTTTTATAATTACAATGTATGTATTTTTACGTTTCACTAAAGAAAGGGGAGATGTCTCAACTGGTATATCCAAAGATTTCTGTAAAAACAATGTGCTTCATAATAACTCGGAGCCAGGCACTGGTGTATTTAGGGGGTTCCCCCCCCCCCCCAAAAAAAATCAATTTCAAGTGGCTAAAAATCACCTAAAATCACCTTAGTTTGCGAGTTAGCATCACTCAACTAATCATCGAGCCCCCTCCTACTTCACCTTTGCACCCCCAATCAGCACCCCCATTTTAAGACTTCCAGATACGCCACTGGAGCCAGGGGAAAAGCCCCGGTGGGTTCCGGGGGAGAAGCCTATAGCCTTATGTATAAAAAAAAGTTGTATTTAATTGATTTATAAGGTTAACAATTTACAATTAAACATACCTACGTTCATAAAAATAATGTTTAGTCATTGTTATTCTTTCCCACATGCTAAGTTTTAAAAAAAAAGTTTTGAACTATAGACGAATGGTGAATAGTGGAGAAAATTGGTATGATTTCTATTACTGTGCTGTTGATAGTCCTGTCACAGAGGCTGGAGGATCCAGAAGTTTTCAAAAGGCGGGGTTAGGGGCACAACAGTTTCAGAATAGATAAGACTGAGTAGCACATAACATAAATATGCATTGACATTTTTAAAATTTAGTGGCAAGACAAGGGGGCACGTGCCTCCCTACACTGGATCCGCCCCTGTGTCACACTACTACTACGCCAATGATTTGTGCACCTTCTGATACCATATACGTAACAAATAATTTAAATTTCTATGGTGAATAACAATTACAATTACAGTTACTCCCATTTACAAATATAGGCCTAAATCGTAAATCTAGAAAATACTGTTACAACACTATAATTTAACTAACTGGAGACAAAAACTGTGAATTCTACATGCGAAATTCTATAGTTTTAAAATATAAGAGCGTGCTAGCTGCCATCTTTTAGTCGGATTTGCCAAGACTGTAATTCAAACATGGAATAATTATCAAAAAGTACCAAAAACATTTCAGAACTTTAGTGCACAGAGCATTTTTTGCATTTAAAACAATCAAATACAAAAATAGGGGGACGATAAATTCGCCCTTGTTATAGTTCCCACTAAATGCATCCGCTCGAACTGGCATCCGCTCAAACTGACATCTGCTCGAACTGACATCCGCTCGAACTGACATCTGCTTGAATTGACTGGCATCCGCCGGACGGAACAATCGACCAATTGAATGATTAATTTATTGTTTGAATGATTGACTGATTGATTGCTTCATTGAGCATTTCACGATAATGCTTTTGTGAGATACAGTAGCAAACGTTTTTCATTAGAAATAAAAAAAAAAGTTTTATTTTCCAATATATGGGTATGATGACATCATATCATGCCGCATAGTGATTTAATATTTCCATATATGGGCAACCATGAGTTTTTGGCACATGAAACTTGATAGTGTGGTAAGAGTCTTATTCTAATGACCTGTATAAATATTAGAGAAAAAAGCTGAATAATGTAAGCAAATTCTGCTTGTCCTCCCCCGCATCATTTTAAGGCCCTTTGTTTTACATAGAAATTGGGAAAGCTAGAAATTATTGTAGAATGAGTATAAATGTGCATCTGCCATTAGAAATATACGGGCAGCTAGATCAAACCTGAATAGCGTCGCTAATAACATCTAGCTGATGAAGATCCACTGATAGTGGAACGAAAAGTAGCAGTACGTATATATTTGTTACTTGGTTTTTAAAATTAAGAATTCTACAATCAATAGGTAGGTAGATGGTCACAATCACCTGCATCATCTTCCACATGTCATCATCATCCTCATTAACCATATTAATTTATAATAACAGTACATATACAATACTAAGTCAAAGGAGATAGTTACCTGTAAGCATATGTTCAAATCAAGGCCAAAGTAGCCTAATATGTAGGGTACTGGTAGTTCTCTTTCATCTTCCCTACTCCATATGTGACTGTTATATTGTGCCCATGTGAAACTTTCTCTTGCTTTAAGTATAAGTGTTGCAACACTTTTCCAGCGCTTACAAACCCTAGTTGAAAAAGGAGAGAAAAGATATAACTTTAAAAAGAATTTGTCAAGTCCCATTTTTTTCATTCCTTTTCAGACCTGATCATATTTTACTTGTTCACAGGAAATCATCAGTTCTCCTGGAAATAGAGGCCCCTCGTGAATAAAAATTAAAATTTAATGACCTGGTATCCAACCAGTTCGTTGAAACCCAGCTTTTGTTGAAACCCAGATTGCCAAGTCCATGGCCACTTTGCAGACACACAGATTGTCAAACATAGTTAGCCGAATCTTGCTGTCACCGTCATACATAAGTACAGCATGCTATTGAAAACATGATGGGTGGAGTCATGGAGGAGCCGTATTTATAAATTAAACAGTCCTACTAAACATCACATGGTGTTTTTAGTGATTTTGTTTTCTATGTACTGTATTAGTTATAAATGGAATAAGGGTAACTCTGGGGATTGGCAGGGATTTTTTGACATTTTGCTTCCATTGAGGCATCATTTCCTCTAATGTTGCTTTGATGAGGGCCTTGACACTTTGTCAATCGATTGAGTGACCTTTATTCTGTTTGTACTTAAGATATTGTTATCTTTATATTATCTATTTTACTGAATGTCATAAATTTCATGTTTACTTAATCTTGGATGCACCTTTCATGTAAAAAGTGTGCTACTGTTTCAAAAGTGTAGTTTCCTATTAATTTATATATAATAACACTACAGTATCTTACTTCAATCAATTGAAGACATATGGCTATATCAGTTAAACTGAAATAAAGAGTGAAATGAAGGGGCGCTAATGCACTTTCGCACCTAACTTTTAATTCCTAATTTTTTTTACCTCAGTGTTGCTCTCACAGTCACAACATATAATTATAAAACATGCATCCACCGCTCACAAAGTACATTTTCCAAGAAAAGATACCTGTATAAATATAGACAGGTTGATACAGCGTTTCCACACTTGCTAGCACGACGAGCTGTATTGTTTTGCAATCAGGTAGAAAATTGCCAGAATGTCCGAGTCAATTCTTATATTTTGAAACAATTAAAATTTGAATCGTAATTTTCCTGTGAAACATCCAACAAACAAAATGTGGCATCATGAAGTACTATATTTTTGCTTAACTTTCTTGTCGTAATTGAGGTTCTTCATCGATAAAGATACTGTTACAAATACAGGTTGATACAGCCTTTTGGCGCTTGCTAAGCACGACAAGCTGTACTGTTTTGCAATCAGTTAGAACATTTTGAAACAATTAAAGTGCAGTATTTGCAACCGAAGTGGACGACTGCCTAGGGATCCCCGCGAGGGTGTGGCGAATCTTCTGGAAGATTAGCATTTTGAGGGCCTTTTTAATGGATTTCTAAAATCCATAATTTGTAATGTCCTATTTTAAATTTTCATTCATTTGATTATTGCCTAGGGACCTACAGTAAAGCAGGAGAAATAGAGGGTGGGGTGAAGGGAGAAACTTGCATAGACAGATGGTCAACACCACCTCATCCCCACCATTTTTGGGGCTGAGGTAAGAAAAGTTATGATTATGGCACCTTAAAGTGGCCGGAAATGACACTCTCGGACCTTTAATTATAAAGAAGAGCGGGTAAAAAAATGTAATGCATACTATAGCATTTCGCGATAATTAGGAACGATTTTAGTGAAATAATAGGTTTTAAAAAGTGGACTTTTTGAAATTTGGTGGTCCAGGGGCATAGGCCTGGAGGGGGTTTGTGAGAAAAGACCAAAGTAGCACTTTGAGGGTCTTACATAATAGATTTCTCAAACACATAATTCATGAATATTTCATTTAAATTTTCATTAATTTGGGTGTATTTGGGACCTGAAAAAGTAAAGTTATTATGTCCTGTACATCTGCAGGCTTATAGATAACATTCTTCATATTATATAGATCAATCTGCAACCACCGGAGACGATCAATTTCTAACAAATTTCATACCACATTATTAAAAATTAACTGTTAGATAAAATAAGCTGGCAAATATATAATGCAATGCATGCTATAGCATTTTGTGATAATTAGGAACGATTTTGTGAAATCATAGGTTTTAAAAAGTGGACCTTTTGGAATTGGAGGGGGGGGGGTTGCGTCCGCACCCTCTGCATCCCCTCTACCTACGGGCCTGTTAAATTACATAAAACTTTGCATTGTAAACTCGGACATTCTGGCAATTTCCTACTGATTGCCAATGGCTGCAGCTCTCGTCGTGCTAGCGAGCACAGGTTTGCTGTCCTGAACTGTACTTATTTGTTGAAAAAGGTATTTTGTGGGTGGTTGAATCATGTAAAAATGTTTTATAATTATATGTTCTGACTGTGGCAGTGTGAGAAGAACACTGAGGTAAAACAATTAGATTTAAAAGTTAGGTGCGAAAGTGCATTAGTTAGCGCCAAATGAAGGATTAAGCATCGGCAAACTGGGTTTTGACAATCTGGCCTAAATCCATTGGCCCTACTACTACCAAGCCTTGGAATAGGTAGACTAGGCTAGGGCCTAGGCAGGAACCAACCTGGAACATCTCAGCAACGACCGTGCTGGGAGTCGTTCAAATACTTGCTTCAGGAACTCATGAAGTTCAGTCATCACATAAGTAACTTCTTTGCATGGTGGGTTTGCTTGTTGTTTTTTTTCCTCCTCTTCTTCTTCGTTGATGATGTCACTTTCATTCAAAACCTCCATTGTAAATAGATATTGCGTTTAATAATTGTAAGTAAGTAAAATTAAAACACTAAAATCGAGTCGTAAAAATAATTTGTTTAGTCTTGCAATGTTTTGTGTCAAAGGTCAATAATTAAAGAGTAGACTTTCTTCAAGATTTGTTTTAAATAAAAACATTATGTTGTTTTTTTCTTCATCAATAATAACTAGTTTTCAAATAGTTAAAAATATATATGAATATAATTATATTATTAGAGTAGAAAGTATACTGATGAATTATGAATATTGAAAATACTGTATTGAATTATCGTTATTAAAATATAAGTGAACGAGCTTAAATATTACAATTGTTATTCACGCACCAGCACTGGACCAATGAAATTGGCGTATTTTAAACAGCTGCCATTTTCCGACCTGCCGCGTGTATTCAAAAGGAACAAGTGGCGTGAACGAGTCTCTTTAAACATCGCATTCGTGTTGGCAGAAAGGAATCTAAAATCGTTCTTGTGAATTGTAACGTAGTAATTTCTTAAAAGATCTTGTTGCTGTATTTTACATAGCCTACACTTGCCTACTTGATATTTTGTGGCACAGATTGCTTTTAATTCGAAGAAAATGGCTGTCCGTACCAGAGCTCAAACGGTTAGATTTTTTGTTTTTAATTTACAGTACTGTACAGTGCACTGTCTGTAGGCTGGATTGGGAACCGTCCAAGCTGTCTAGGCATATGCTAGGCGCTCCCGCTAAGGCTTGTCCTTTATTTAGGCCTATGCCCTTTGAATTTTCATTACTTTACCAGTTGTAGTAATGTAGTAATGTAACAATGCTGTCAACTGTTACTTAAACTGTTTCATGTTTTCCTTTTTTCAGTATGCTTTAGTTGGTCATAATACTGCAGACATAGAAAACCAAGCAAATGCAAGGCTAGCTTTGTTAGCTGCCAAAACTGGAGTAACAACCCGAAATAATGGAGACCAACCCAGAGCAGCTCTTGGCAACATCAGCAATGTGGCTAGGCAGTCCAATAGGCTTTTAAATAAGGTGAGAACACGTCATTCATTCATGTAGGGCCTATTCTATTGCTTTTGTTTTCACACGACACACTACAGTATCGTACAACAATGAAGAATATAAAGAATTTATGAAGCCAGCCAGTACAGTAATACTAAACTAGGCCTATCTATAATAAATAGAAATAATTACAATTAGGCCTATACACAATGAGGAATTTATCATGTACGTATTAAAAAAAAGTACCTTGGCAAGTATAGTATAAAAACAATAACAGTAGCATTTCATTATGTAGGCTCTTTTTAAGTATAAAGATTTACTTTCCTTCCTGAATTAGGCTGTGAAGAAAGATAGACCAACTCGAATGACAAAATCTAAGGCAACATCTTCCCTTCACTCAGTTACAAGTTTACAACCTCAAAATGAAGTGGTAAGTCAACATATGGAACAAATAGGGATGGCAGTACATTGGTAAACAACCCAGCATTTTATCAACTACTATTTTTAAAATTGAAATAAATTCCCATGGCCCGTTTCTATTTGCCAGGAACCAAAATCCCCAGAGGCAATGGATACAGTGGATGTTGGTGAAATTGCAGTGGCTTTCTCTGAGAAAATGGTCCTGAACATAGAAGACATTGATAAGAATGACACGGACAACCCACAACTCTGCTGTGAATATGTGAATGATATATACGATTACATGAGACAATTAGAGGTAAGCTTATGCAAATGTACTGTAGGTGCAGAAAATTAAATTAAAACTTTGTTGTTTGTTGGTATTTAATATCCAATAGCGGGGGTGAGGCCTGGGCCATTATCGGGGAGAAAATGCACAATTTCTTGGGAAAAATGTGTTGCATGTTAGTGATAAAACCCCAGCACGCCCATTATTTTTAGTCGGCCACCCTCTGGCGCCACCACAGTCCTATAGTCTTGCACTACATGCTGTATTTGTATGTATAACAAGATAATACTGATGTATTTTTCAGCGTGCACTGAAAGTAAACAAGGATTATATGGAAAATCAAGCAATCAACAGTAAGATGAGGACGATTCTTGTTGATTGGTTGGTTCAGGTACATCTTCGATTCCACCTCCTACAAGAAACTCTCTTCCTCACAGTACAGCTCATTGATCGCTACCTAGAGGTTAGTAAACCACATTGGACTTGTACAGTAAATTTAAAACATGGTCATCTGAATATTGAAAAATTGATTTTTTTTTTTGTAATGGATTTCACAATGGCTTTCAAACCACAATTTCTTTTTAGATTAAAGCAGTCTCAAAGGACAAACTGCAGCTGGTTGGTGTCACCGCCATGTTCATTGCATCGAAATACGAAGAAATGTACCCACCAGAGATTGGCGATTTTGTCTACATCACCGACAATGCATACACGCAGAGTCAAATCCGCAGTATGGAGATCCAAATGCTGTCTGCGCTCAACTTCGGTCTTGGCAAACCTTTGTGCATCCATTTCCTTCGTAGGAATTCTAAAGCTGGCGAGGTAGGTTGAAGATTACTCTGTACCACGGTTTTTGCCTGAAACATATTGTATTTATACAGCTCAGTACAATGGTATGTGCTGTTATTGCTTTCAATTGCTCTTCAAAAATAATTTTATTTTCATTTGAATAAACCAGGTGACTCCAAAGAAGCACACTCTAGCAAAGTACCTGATGGAGTTGACCCTTCCAGACTACGAGATGGTGCAATACGATCCTTCAGAGATAGCAGCAGCTGCCCTTTGCCTTTCTATGAAACTCCTGGATGCTGAGGCCGAGTGGAATCCGACACTGGTTCACTACAGCACCTACACAGAATCGTATTTAATGCCAATTATGAAAAAAATAGCAGCTATTGTACACAAATCGCCAGTTTCAAAATACCAGGTAATTTACAGTAGACCTAATAGAGGGATTTATCAATGATTTAGTTGCATGTTTTCAAAAACATCCACATCCACCTACTGCTAACGCGAGAAGTAAATGGCTAGAATCTCATCGGCAGACTGCTGTGTCTGCAATAAAAAATACAAGTCAATGTATAGTCTTTAATTATGCGAGCCCAGGTTTTCCACATACAGTTACATACAGTTACCATTGTAATACTATTAATTAATTTCAGATTGTGACCGGTTGCGATGTAATCTGTGGTAAACAGATGCAATCCAAGTTGTTCGCAAACTTCGACAGCATTCATACACCTTTTTACTTTACATTACATATTATTATTAGCAACGATATAGGTCGTCCTATTTTGTTTGACCTCTGCCACAGCTGTGGTAATCGGGAGTAATAAACATAACACCCAATCGTAGCGGGTATTAGATCATTGATATTTCATTTCAAATGATTAAAATATTAATTTTATTTTGCAGGCTGTCCGATCAAAGTACGCCAGCAACAAGTTTCTCAAGATCAGTACATTGCCAGAACTAACTTCCACAACTATTCAACATCTTGCAGAGACCTCGTAAATCTCCAGTTGCAGTTGTATTTGTATCGCGTATGCTACGATAGTATATATAAAACTATTCACTTGGCAGTTGCCAATTTTATCATGTCTACTGTACAGAGCAAATTCCTTCACTGTATATTATCATGCCAAAGTATAGAAATTACTACTACAGAGAATTGTGTAAAATATTAATACCAGCAACTACATGTGTACATATGTCCATTTCCTTGCAAATGGATACTTTATTATGTTTTAGTTGATTTGTTTTAGAGTATAGATATAATGTAAATGTTAGAATTAATGATTGCGTGCATTAGCCATATTGTGTTTGCCCACCAAAAAGCAAATTTATCGAGTTCATTAATAGCTTTGCCTTTTAGTGGGGTTAATATTTGTACTTGTATTATATTGAATTGATATTAATAAAATCTGAATATTAAAATGTTGTGTTTTGAATTCATTTTGTATTAAGTATATATTAACCTGTCCCTTTCCCACACAAGGACATTTTGAAATTGTAAATGTTCTTGTTTTGAGCAGCCTTAAATGACTTGTAGGTCATGGTCATTATTATCTTTATATTCACAAATTTAGGGGCTCATTAAATTCGCTTGAAATACGCCAGCACATTGCCAGAACCATGTTCCTCAACTAAAAATTCTACAGCATATGATACAAAATTATATAAAAACTGTATAGCCCATGGCAGTTACTGGCCAATTTTATCATGTCTACTGTACTGCAAGTTCCTCCATTGTATATTCCGATAACGTACTTGTGTCCATTTCCTTACAAATCAATACTTTAAGGGTATTGTTTTAGTTGTTTTTAAGTACTGTATATGTAGATATAAAATGTAAAGCAATAAATTATATTTTCCATATTGCTTTAGCCCTTCAAAAACAAAATTTTTAAATTGTAGGTTTGATTATTGGTGTTTGTACTTGTGTAATTGATATTAAAATTCTGAATATTAAATTTTTTGATGTTGGAATTTATAATGTAGTGTTTGTATAAACCTGTCCTCTAGGATCTGTACTTCAACCCTTTAAACAACGGCGGCGGAACCTTTTTGAAATTGTGGGGGTGGGCATTTCATAAGGTCGAGTATGCGAGCATTTAAGCTGGGGCAAAAAGGGCCCCGCCTCCTGGAAGCTACGGATATTACAAAGTTTGGTGAATTTTATAAATTATTTTATAGGCATTAAGCTACTGTTAGTGGCACCTCCAGATGGCCGGAAATTGCACTTCCAGACATAAAATTTGAATACTGTATAATTATCTTTATATCTCCATTTTTTTAATTGAACAATTTAGGAGGGTGGTGGCGGGCCGGCTGGGTCCCCTTGAATCCACCACTGGGGGTTCTTCAGCAGATGGAGAATCTATATCACCTCAGCCCCACCGTGGTACGGTTGGGGCTGAGGTAAGAAAAAATATGATTATGGCATCTCTAGATGGCCGGAAATGGCACTCTCAGATTAAAAGTTGAATACAATTTTCTCCATTTAAAAAAAATAATTTTGAAAAAAAATGGGATGGGGGTCCCTCGTGACTGGGTTTCCCCTTGAATCTGCCACTGTTCAATAGAAAACTTGACATAGCCTACCATTTTGTTTCACAAATGATTAATTCATAATGTCAAGCGAAAGATTTTTTTATTCGAAATATTTTTTTTTACTCAATACAGTTTTTACAACCTATAACACATTAACTACAGTGTACTGTAAATTCTATAGTTAAACTTCAGACAACTTTATTTTAAAAAGTGGTCTAACTTATTGTTTTCGTTAAATTAGAGTTTGAATGTGGTTATATTACGCTAGTCTGACGGTTTATTGTAAGGAAGGTAACTCAACAGAAGGACGTACATCTCCGCTCTCGAACATATCGCATGCCATTCAAAGTCCTTTTATCTTGATCTTTGCTGTGGCATGGCATCAACAATCCGATGCTAGTTGCGAGTACACCCGTCAATTATTAGTCTATGCGTGCCATTCGTTTTATGGTGTTAGTTTTTATTTTATTAATTTTGGGTACTTCGCAATGTCTGTTACGTCTGATTTTTTTTGACCGCGAGCTTGTTAAATGCTTCTATAAACTGCAATTTAATTTGTGAAAATTGACCAAGAAAATGAAAAGTTATAGCAATTTAAAATTTACGAATTTTATAAAATTTCATGTTCTTATGTAACATTAATCTGTCATTTTGACAATGTTGGCATAAGGTGCCGAAAACGAACATTTGAGTATATGCAGAACATTTATTAATTTTCTCTGCGAATTCAATTCACCACAATTTTTGTAAAATTAATGTTGAAATGAAGAATATATAATTTCAGTCTAATGTTAGTGCAAAATAATATCATTAGGCCTTTGTAATCACCGCACGACGCGCATTATCATGGCAACTAACACGCGCGTGAGTAATTCGTCACGTACGCTGACGGTTTATGGTCTAGATGCTATGGTTTTGTGACGTTCAGCGTGCAGTTCTCTATATAAATACCAAAGATACTAGTATCTTTGATAAATACTCACAACATTCTTTTCATGACGAGCCATGCTCTCTGGACGATTATCTTTTCCGCCGCACCACCATTCGTAATTTGCAGTTTCCCGATGTCCTCGTTTTTCATTCAAAATGTGCCTCTTGAATTTAATAAGTTCTCACGAAGAACACCTTAATTTTCATCTATTTCCACAAGCGCCCCTCAATTTCCACTCTGTTTTCATAAGCGCCCCGTTTGAATAAGCGCCCCTCAAAAAGGGCAAAAATATTTTAAGCGCCCGGGCGCTTATTCGCGCGAGTACGCTACAACTAATGCACATGCTGGTGTTAGGCACAATTTCGCTGACATGCATTTTGGAATACACAGAGTTGACCAAGTAAACATTAAACGACAGTGGCTTGTTATTTCAAAATTTATTAGTACCGGTACTGTATAAATGTTGAAATTCATAATTTGTGTTGTTTGTCTAAAATAGCTGCTGGACCCTGACCGTATAGGATCTGTGCCCCTAGATATTGAGCAGCGACACTAAATGAATTGCAGTATTACGTTAACTAATGTTGTACTAGTGTCAGCCACCATTTCGATGTCGTACTGCTTCCATTTGGATCCGTAAATGACAACACAGAGTGACCTAAGCACATTAAACAACACTGGTTTATTTAATTCTTCCTTTATTTATTTATATATTTTGCTATAAAATGATTGAACTTTATATACAATTCTCTTACAATAACAATATATGAAATAATTTATCGATGGTACATTATTTTCAATTGATATTAATCTAAATAAAACAGCAACAAAACATAATGAGCTGATTGATAGCCGGGAGCAGTCAGGCTGCCTATAACCATTGACAGAGGGGGTCGCAACAAGGAACGCTGCAAATATAGAAAATAATGATCAAATTTATTAACAAATTTAAATAAACCATTCCAGCTTATCCTAGAAAGTCGCTTGGTATTCAGATTTCATTTCTCGGACATCCGGGCTTTCTGGACAGTGGCGTATCTAGAAGTCTTGAATTGGGGAGGGGGGAGGTGGTGGCGGTGCGAAGTGAAGTGGGGGCCTCGATGATCAGTTGAGGAGCGCTAATTCGCAAAATATGGTGATTTAAGGTGATTTTTAACTACTTGACCGTAGAAACACACCCCCACCCCGCCTGCGCCCTCCCCTAGATACGCCACTTATTATTATTATTTTAGTTATCACAGTTAAATTATAAATTAATAGCATAGGTATGTTATTAATTTTATTCAGAATATTATTATTAGTATTTGTATGTAGCAGTAGCAACCTATCATTATCATCTTGTTAAAATATTGCAATGGCATTTAATTAAGTCCCCCATCGTCATTTTTCCGGTTCAAGGTAATCCATCCTCCAAGAGGATCAGATACTAGGCCTATAACTTAATCCTAGGGAAATTCCCTATATATGTTTTGGGAATACTGCGCTTGTGCAGATATACTCATGCTGCGGTAGTGGATTTTTTTTTTTTTTTTTTTTTTTTAGTAAAATGGAAAGTTTTAATTAAATTTTTCTGTAAAATGGAATGTGTTAAGGTTCATTTCTATTCATTTCATTTGACAGGTAGGCCTATGCCAAGCACAGTATGAATGTAGTTTTATTACGGAGTTGGTAAACAAATGACCAATAGCTGATAGCACCTTGTCCGATAATGATAATGATGTTATTTAGAGTAAGTTTGACTCCTTTAATTAAGATTGTAATAATAATAATAATAGTGTAGTTTTATATAGCGCACATATCCATCTAATGTAAGATGCTCAGGGCGCTTGAAATGTGGACTAAGAACTCGACCAATGACTTTTTTCGCCCCTAAGGGTCCCTTCGTGTCTGTGCTACCCGGTAACCCGGTACCAGCAACTCTCGTCGTCCACCACAGGGGCTGTCTGTTCCAGTACACCGGGGTAACCCCCTACTCGTCTCGAAGGATGTACTG